TGATTATATTATTATAATTTATTAATTTATTTATTTTTATTTTTATAAAATCAATAATTTTAATAATTAAAAATATACTTAATTATTTTTAAACATATCTTTATCAATTATTTAACTTTAAATAACATCCTATTTTATAATTGAATAGTTATATTAACCAAACCTGCTATCTATTATTTACTACTTACTTTTCATTATCTACCACCTATTATTTACTAATTGCTATTCATTATCCATTATCCATTACCTATTAAAAAGAGCTGCAAAAGGCAATGGAATTTTAATTGTCTAATAAAGTTTTCTTTTTGGTATATCCAATGGAATTTCAATCTTTTTTAAATTTAATTTCAAATAGACCATATTATCAAAATATTTTAATATTTTTTTCTTTGAATTTAAATTATAATTATCCATTTATTTCTTTTATAAAAAATTATTTATTTATTTCTCACTATTAGAATATTTCTTTCCCAAATTTTTTTGCACAATAATCTTCTTTATTCAATTTAATTTAAATTATCTTCAAATAAAAATTGAAATTAAAGATCAAGTTTCTCCTTAAACTTTTTTTTTTGATCAACTTATAACTTAAGAACAGAAGGATTTGAACCACAACCCTAGATCTAAGGGGATACACCTTATTATGGGATTTAGGATTGCCAAGCCATGAGGTCTAGATGCAAGTTTTCCGTTAAATTTTTTTTTTTATCTTAATTACACAGTAAAAGATAATTATCTCTTATTCATTATTCTATCACACCTATATATTATGTGATTCAAATTCAAAATTTTTTACTCTAATAAAAAAAAATAATTACTTAACTATTTAAGTGGTTCGCTTCAAATATTAAACTATTATCATTTTGGAATTCTAATTCGTTTTCTTTATCTCGTAAAACTCCTCACACGCAACCAGAATTATCTATTATCTTTTTTTTTTTTCCAATTTAGTGTTTACAAGCTATCCATCCTCATTTTTTTTTTTTATCAAAATAAGGAAGAACGCTCCAATCACTAAATTCTTTTGAGAATAAAAGATGACAAAATAAGTAAATATAAATCAATAATACTTATTAATTTTTTTTTTTTGGATAAGTTGTCAAGGGACATGCTCGAAACCCGCCTATAGAGAAAGGAAAATGCATCTCAAGCTGACAGGCTGTCAATTGGTTCGAAGCTGTCAATTGGTTCGAAGCTATCAATTGGTTCGAAGGGTTAGGTGCAATAATACTTATTAAATTTTGCTTCATTAAGGTGTAAAATACATTAATACCCAACGACTGAAAAAGAATTGCGAAAAGCACTAAAAGAAATATCAATTAGTAAATTTTGTTATCGTTAAAGCCCAAAAACAAAAAAAAGACTGCAATAGGCATTGAAATTTTAATTGTGTCTCCTAAAGTCTACTCTTCAACGTAACCAACGAAATTTCAATCTTTTTCTTACCTAAATTTAATTTTAAATTGTGATCTTATTATCAAAATCTTTCAATTTTAATTTAAAAATTGTAATTATCTATTTATTTCGCTTATAAAAGAAATTATCCATTTATTTTCATTATTAGAATATTTCTTTCCTAATTTTTTTTTGCACGGTTATCTTCTTTGTTTAATTTAATTTAAATTATCTTTTATTAAAAATTGATATTAAAGATTAAGTTTCACCCTAAAATTTTAAACCATATTCTCTTTTGAATTCTAATTCATTTTTTTATCTCATAAAAATCTACTATGCATAATTGTAATTATATATTATCATTTTTTTCTCTTTTTTAAAAAAATTTAGTTTAAGGGCTATAAATTCTTATTTTGAAAAAATCAAAATCACGAACAATGCTCCAATTACTTAATTTTTTAGAGTATAAAAAATGGACAAAATAAGTTGCTATAAATTTAGAACAAAATCCATAATTCACTAATTCACTTTATTAATAAAGAAACAAATCTCTTAACGATCTAAGTAATTTAGTGATAATCTCTTTTCGCTGAAAGTAAGAGAT